ATTTCTTGCTGTCATTATCGATTATGTTAATTCTGAAGGTGCTGTGATAATCGATTATGACAGAAAACTTTTGAAAATTTGAAATTATTAAAGTTTGAAATTTGAAAGTTTGAGATTTTTGAAATTTGAAAGTTTGAGATTTTGAAATTTGAAATTTTTGTAGTTTGAGTTTTTTTTTTTAAATTTTGCAGTTTGAGATTTTTGAGATTTGAAATTTTTGTAGTTTGAGATTTTTGAATTTGAATTTGAATTGGAATTTGAAATTTGAATTTGAAATTTGGAATTTGTTAGAATTTGAATTTGAAAGCTACCTCAATAAGAAGACTACAATTGGGGGAAACTACTGCATTCCATTCCATTATCTCTGCAATCATTCCATTCCCCTATCTTTCTCTCTCTTTATTTTTCTTGGATATCCTAGATATTGCCTCCTTAATATGATATTCTTCTCTATGACACTTTGTGATGCATTATCTTCTCTGTCTTGATTTATGTACTAATCTGTGCAAATTTGTGCTCAATTTCTATTGTAATACTTTTCATAAGTATCAATGAAACAGAAAGAGATTTTGATGATATTAATCTGTGTGAAATAGGGGGAGATTTTTTTTTCTCTTCCAATATTTTTTTTGATTATCAATGAAACAGGGGGAGATTTTTTGATGAATTAAAATATGTGTGAAATTCATTTCTATCTCTGAATTAAACAGGGGGAGTTAAGAGAAGTTTTTGCTCATATGAGTTAGGGGGAGTCTTGTTATTAATATATCCAGGGGGAGATTAAGAGACTCTGACACTTGATACAAATATGTATTATACTATATTATGCAAATTTGTGCTAATCTTGAGCTGGCTATATAGAGTCAAATATTTTAATTCATTTCAGGTGTTTCCTTGATCATCATAAAAAAGGGGGAGATTGAAAGCAATGAGGGGGAGATTGATGACAATGTGAAACCTCATGCAAGAAAAGAAGGTTCTAGCTTAAGGCACTACATGGCATGTTGGATTGCCTTATAAGTGAAAGCACTGAGGGGAAGATTGATGGTAATGTGAAACATGCCTCTACATTCCCAAGAGATGATTTTCATGATGATTCAAGTCAACAACATTCAAGATTCAAGCAAGCCCAAGATGATTCCTGAAGACTAGATAGAGTCTTAGAATACTGGATATGGAGGTACAAGTTGATAAAGTGGTATTATGCATAAGCCTCCAAAGCACAAGTGTGATAAAATTTCGTAACATTACATTTTTCACTGTCATAATCAATTATGATGCATCAGAAATGGAAAAACGATTTTCTCTCTGTCATAATAGATTATACTGGTAACATAATTGATTATAACAGTTCATATTTGAAAAATATATCAGTTTTGAAGAATAAATATTTTTTAATACATCTTGATTTTTCCCTACGAAAGTATTAATGACCAACGACTATTTTCTAATAATATTTTCCTCTTTAAATGAGTTTTGATGAAAAATAAAAAATACACAATTACAGAATTCGAAAATACAATTTTACATACATTCAGTTTTAAGAAAAGAATTATGAGCAAGGCAACAAAGATATTTTACACCTTATGAGAAAACCCTCTTCTCTACTGCCTTCTGTGCTTTCATTGTTAATCACACTTATTCTTGGAGGTTGACATTCTACATGCTTCTATAATTTGTTGTCTCCATTACTCAGGTGTGACTGTTCTTATTTTATTACCTTCATCCTTTGTAGGTTTAAGTGGTTGTCGTTAAATTCCCTTTTTAGGGTTTAGGTTGTTGCTCTTATTTTCTTTGCCTACAAACTAAGGGTTTTCTTGTGGGCATTGTTTCTTGAGAAGTGTGTTTCTCTGTTCATCCCTTTGATTTGTTCAGGGAGGTGTTCATCCTTAGTGAGATTCTAAGGAGGTGTTTTCATCCCTTTAATTTGTTTGGGGAGGTGTTCATCTGTGTGATTCTAAGAAGGTGTTTATCCTTTGTGTGTTGGTGGCAAACGAGGTGTTTTTCATCCTTTGATTTGTTTAGAGGAGGTGTTCATTCCTAGTGGGATTCTAGGGAGGTATTCATCATTAGTGAGTTTCTAAGGATGTGATTGTCTTTTTAATTAGTTTACTTTTTACTGGTTCCTCTGCTGAGTTGATTATAATTTGTAAACTGAATTTAAAGATAGTGAATTGGGAGTCACTCTTGTGATTAGAGTTAATTGGGAACTGGATGTAGGGTTGACTACACCCGAACCAGTATAAATTATTGTATGTTCTTCTCTTGCCTTTATCTCTTTAACAACACCGCATCCTACATCTCCACGCTTGAATATTTTCCTTTATCTATTTGATTATATTGCTTCTACTTTATATATTTTATTTGATAATTAAAACTGAATTAACAAATTATTGGATATCTTAAATAAATAAATTTTTAATTTGACATCTATTTTAATTTGTGCATCTATTCACCCTCTCTAGATACCATTTGTCTAACAAATTATAGCAAATTCATCACAATTTTTCTTTTAAAAAAAAAAAAATCGAGTTACGAGAAATACTTACAAATTTTTCTATAAATAATTATTTGAAAGTATTATGGGTTTTTTTATTGAAAAAATGTCCAAAAAAATAATTACAAATTTTTCTACAAATTTGTAAAAATTTTATGCAAAATTTAATTTAAATACATTATTATTATTATATTAAATATAAATTTTCTAGAAAATTAGTAAATTTTTAAAATTATTTTTTGTAATTTTTTTATAAATATAAATTTAGAAGGAAATATTTATTAGTATTTGTCAACAGATTTTATAGATAATATTATTTTATAAATTTTTTGTTACAAATTATTCTTTTTAATAAAAAACAAAATTAATTATTATATTTAAATATACATAGATTTATTTTTTAATTGTGAAGGTTTTATAATCTCTTTTAATAAAAGCATATAGATTTATGTTCTTTTCCGTTTTTCATAATATTTTTTGCATTTTCAAGCTTAAATATTTGTTCATCCCCAAATTGAAAACCTAGTTGATGCCCCTATAGTCATCGCTGTCGTTCCTCGCACCGTTGCCATTCTTGTTGTGGTTGTTACGGCTCCTAAGTTGGCGCTACTGTAGTTGTGCTTGTCGCGTCACTACTCCTATAAATATAATTAATTTTAAATTAGGACATCAAAATAAGAATGATTTGACAAAAAACAAAAAACTTAAAAATATAAGTTAAGTCCAACTAAAATTTTGTGAGTTGAAGCAAACAAATATTAACCAGGCTTGTTTAATGTGTCATCTAAACTTATTTTTAATCTTGTTCTAAAAGTATTCTTGAAGCTAAATCATTGTTAATGAAAACAAGCCAAGCTTTGGCTGGCCTCATTATGGTGTATATCATAACTATTAAGTCTAAAAGGGTTTACCTATTGCTTGTAATTATTTCAAGCCTCTGTTAAATTTGACGTATTTAAAAGTTTATTTGAGAATAATTATATAAATAGTTCTCTCAAGCTTGTCAAATAATGTGTTAATAAAGTGGTTTATTTGTTATCCTACTATCCATGCAATATTTGTAGTAATAGAGAGATATCTCATTAATAGGGATGACAATTAAACCTGTACTCGTGGAGACCGACCTGTTCCAGTTCTGAGTTTGACGGAGAAAATCCGAGTTGATCGAAGGCGAGAGTGGGTTCGGGTTTTTCCCGCTTTAAAAAGTCGGGGGCGGGGATGCGTAATGCAATCCCCGACCTCGTTCCCGTCCCGACTTTATATTTAAATTTAAAATTTAAAATATTAATACTTTAAATGTTTTTTTTTCTTTTTCTATTACATATAAAGTTATTTTTTTAATATTTCACCAATTTTTATTTTTCTTCTACCCACTTTTAATATTTTTATCTTTTTAAACTTTTTTATCAATTAATTTATTACATTATTCTCTCTTACCTTTCATTTTTTACATTTTCTTAATTTCTCCCATCAATTTATTTATTTTTTTAATCTTTCAATCAATTTGATGAACACAAAGTAAATTTTTTTTCTTCTTTATCTTTTTCTAAATATTTTACATAAATCCTAGTAGTAACTAATATTATTTTATTTATAATTTATATTTATTAGGTTTTATTATGTCATATTTTTTGATCTTATTATTCTTATTTATCATATATCAAATTTTATCTTAATAAAATAATTTTATTTTAAAAGATTAAAAAAAAATTGATAATTTAAACTTTTATTACTTTGAACTAATTAAATAAGAATTAACTTATTAAATATTTTCTTATAAACTATATATTTCATATTTTTAAATGACAACTTAAAAATGAATTAATTTATATATATAACTAAATGTTTGAATACAGTATTATAATAATAATGTTATAAGTATTAAAATATGAATAATAATAATAATAATAATAATAATAATAATAATAATAATGTTATAAATATTCTCTCTCTATATATAAATAAAAAATAATTAAATATTTTTTTACATACATATTTTAATATAAATATAATAAATTAAAATGTATATTTAATTAATAATAATTATAAAATTATAAATATTTATTTATATATAAAAAATACATAATAAAATTAATTTAGTATAGATGTAATTATTTTTTTAAAAATAATATAAATCGAGTACGGGGTGGGAGCAGGGACGAGAAACCTAAAACCCAACGAAATAGGAATGAAGACTTGATTTTTAACCCGAGTCCGAGACGGAGATAGTTAAAAAAGTCGGAGGCGGGCATCAAAGGCAAAACCCGCCCCGCCCCGCCCCGCCCCACCCCACCCCATTGCCAGTGGCTAGATTAAGTTGGACAGTACAACCAAATGTTGATGCAATATATGCAAACGTGGTTCCCAAGAGACAAATAGAGACATAAAATAATTAATAATATTTATAAAAATCATAGAATTAATTGAACGGTATTTATTTCTTTTATATTTGCATAACACATTTGAACTGTGAAATTATGTGTTCAGCAGTTGAATGAATAGTCTAACCACGTATACAATGATCCATAGAAAAGGAAAGTTGAATGTTGCAGGCTGCTGGAAGTTGTACCAAATTCTGAGGCACAAAGTTCAAATATGGACCAGCATCAACCAGACAACCACAAAGATTTTTTACAGCTTCATCATTGTTAGCTCTTTGAAACGCCACTCTTGCTCCATCACAACAATGAGGAGTTGGAGGATCTAATCCTGAACCAACCAAATAAGGCACACATTGGAAAAGTAAAGGTTCATACCCATTGCATGTTTCAGGAACTTGTGCTTCTGTGAGTCTTGTTACTGCCAAACCATAGGCCATAACTAGCACCACAAGACCCAACACTTTCTTCTCTCCCATCATCTCTCCAATTAATATCTCCGCTGCCTGGTTTTCAGTTTTATGATTTTGTGTTCAACCATTTCTACCATACCATTACTTATATACACTTCATGTTCAATCTTGAAATATTTTCAATTCCTTTTTCGTTATCCTTTTCCATTTTTTATATGGAAAATGTTAAATATATTTTTTATTCACTACAATGATGAATAAAAAATTAATTATTATTTACTATTTTTAAAAGATATTTTATAAAATCTAATTTATGTAATTATTTAATGTTGGATTTGTGTATACTTAGTGATTCATTGTAAAAATATTCAAAATTAATATCGAATACTTGTTCAAGGAAACTAATTATATTATATCTTATGAAAAGGAATCTAATTATATTTAAGCGATGAATATCTTTTATTTTACTAATTCTATATTTTCTATTCTTGCAAGCGTGGAGGTGTTTCACCGAGAGGATCTTATATAAATAAAAGAATAATTAATGTTATTTTTAATTTAAAAAATAACTTATAAAATAAAATTTATAATATTATTAATTATTGTGATCTTATCACACTACTACAAAATGATCATTCAACGTCGGGTGTGGAAGGCATTCAACGTCGGTTCCAATGACGTCGTTGATTCAGGCGTCGTTGAATGTCAAAGGATTCTACGTCGGTTCAGAATACCCAACGTTGAAAGTGATATATATCTACGTCGGTTAACCAAATGTCCGTCGTAGAAATTAGTAAATTCTACGTCGGTTATTGAACTAACCGACGTTGAAAGTTATATATAGTGACTAAGCCTTCAAACAAAGGTGACCCTCAGGTCCTTTCTCGCTCAAGCGACCGGTGTACTCGCTTGAGCGACGAAGCCTTCAAACAAAGGGGACTCTCGGGTTCTGTATCGCTCAAGCGACCGACGTTACAACGTCGGTTAATGCAATAACCGACGTAGAATATCCCTTTTTTTTTTTAAAAAAATGTTGGTCTGTTTTTGTGCCACCAACAGTACACGACCTGCTATAATCTCAGTCCAGACAGTATATTTATTTCAGCTAATCACTAATATATAAAATGATAGATATATATGTCAAAATCAGCCAAATTATGTACAAAATACACAAAAAATTATCAATCAATCCTATTCCTAACTACTTGTACAAACTTTTTTGCCCATTTGTTTCTAACCATGTCTATAGTATCCATAGGCAAATGCTCTATATCTTTAAATGCCTGTAAGAAGTTCACAATAATAGAATGGTAAACCCTAAGCAATAAAAATAAAGGAATTGAATATAATAGCAAATGTCAACTTACCTCATTCCAACTATCCTGAATGCTACCAAAAATGATGAGCCACATCCAATACATTACATAGTAGCCGCACTCGTATCCTCCATTTTGTTTGTTACACTAAAAATGACTAAATATGTTAAAAATAACTATTAAATTTGAACATAAATTAATAGATAGTATAATATATATAAAGGCTACTTACTTTGATAAAATTCCAATTTGGAGCTGTGCTTTTACTTGTGTGTTTTCCACCTAATGTACTACAAACCTTTAGAGCACTATATATTGAAAAGAAGGGGGTTAGAAATAGAATAATCAAGATGTTTAGACATAATATAAGAAATACTTACTCGTTTACAATATTTTTTAGCTCCATGTCGGGTTTCCTTCCCAATGAGCGAGAACCAACACACAAGATTCCGCTTTGGACAAATAACTAATAGGCTGCCAGTGGTTTACGTATATACACATGATTAGAATCTATTAAAAAAACTTGTGTAAAACCGGAAGAGGCTGGGATAACTTACGAATGATGGTATGCTCCAAGGTAAATATCTCTTTTAGAATCGGTGATCCAATTCGCATGTAACGAGAATTTGATCACGCTTATTCCAAGACTTTTGTATGGATTGAGGCTCGAAGAATCCATACACATGACCAATGCCCTGCTCCACTATCATTTCATGCATCATCCTAAAATATGCCAATTTAAGTGAACTTATAGCTTATATATTTACTAAAATGAAAAGAGTCATGAAAGATATGAACTTACAATGTCCAAAATTGTAAAACAGCTATATTTAGACATTGATTGCCCATCCCAATCTCCAGGGCATCGGTGTGGGAAATGTATAGGGGGATATTGCTAGAAGCCATCCCAAATAATGTACAATCCCATGGAACTTGGAATGACTGCATATACAATTGTGGGGAAAGAGACAAGAGATCAAAAATTGGATTTGGAGAAGTCTCCACAAGCTGGTGTCTTCTCCTTAGATCCAGAAGGAGTGGTAATAGCTTTACCCAAGTCTTTTGAGCTGCTGAACATCCTACATATTTTATAAAATATAATCATAAACAATAAATCAATTTATTTATGTGTTAGATGTATTATAACCATACATATACATACCTTTGCCATGATTGACCTAACTAAATGTCGGGGCCAAGTAATGAAGGTCCGAAGGGCTTGGCCCACTGTCTGCACCTCTTCGGTGGGGATAGGGACACTAGCCTCGGCGTCAACCACCTTTTCAACCACTACTTTGACCAAGTTAGGATCCAAAGGCACATTGTGGATGGTTGAAGCCCCTTCATGAAGCTGATCCATGGGCCACTAGTCTTAGACCTTCATCTACCTCAACCCACAAGCCATATCGATCATCCTTTGTGGATTTAGGATGAATAGATGCCACCTCGGGTGTGACCTCGATAGTGGCTTCGGCACAACTGCCCTTTGTGCTAACTCTTGGACCTACAAATACAGTAAATTCCAATAAGGACTAAGATTTTAGAAACACAAGTCAAGTACCAATTTGTGGTTGAAAATGCACCTGATGGAGGACGAGCATCGAGCAAATGAAGTACCCATGGAGGTCATACGTAGGAATTGCTCCTGCACACGTGCGGTGATGGTCTCCTCAAGTCGTGCGGCGATGGCAGGAGTCAACTCTTCCTCCAATTTTGCCACTGATGGGTGGTGTCAATTTCTCTGTGAGAGCCATCTCCAAGGCAACAATATCTTCTTGGCTCGGGGATGTGGAGGTGCGGATATCCTGTGATGGTGGTCCAAAATACTGTCGGACACCCACACCTTGGCCAACAGCTCGAACACGACCTGGATGTTCGAGTCGTCCAATAGCGAGTGGTCAAGATATCCTGACGACCAGAAGGGATGAAAGTTCCCTGTGTACACTGCTCCTCCAAGGCATCCTACATTATAAAAGTTAATTTTATTAATGAACATGTTACATATAACTAATTCAAAGTAAATTAATTTCTTTTACTTACAATCCGAGCAGCAATTTCTCGGGCTTCCTGCGATGTCATGTCACCAGAAGGCTTTGTACGAGCCCTCTTCCACTTCTGGTGACATTTTGGAGGAGATGGTGGAGGAATCTGCTCTTTGCTTAAACCAGAAGAGGCTAACTCCGACTGTCGAAGTCTCATCTTCTCCTCCATCATCTTCTTTGTCAATAGGTCGTACCCACCACGAGACAAAAGGTGGGGGGCGACATTCTGGCTCTGAATGTCTTTTGCTTTTTGTCTTCTTTCCTGCAACATAATTGAACACAATATTAGATACACAACTCATTATAAAATGTTCAAGTCAATTAAGCAATTAACATTACCTCCCACTCTGAACCAGTCCTACTATGTACAAACTTCTTCCAAGTGTCCTCATCTATGCCATATCTTTGGCAAGGGGTTAATCCCTTCCTAACTTTGTCCTCAGCATACACCCATTTAGTGGTCAATGTGGACTTGAACTGTCTCCACATTTTTGCTATGGCTGTCATTATCTTCCTCCTCACATCCTCAGAATTGACTATATCAAAGTGTTCCTACAGTAGCAAACAAGTTTTAGTTAACCAATTGATAATAATGTATAAACAACTAAATACACATACTTACAAGAAGATCTTGCCATAACAAGTTCTTCACAGTTTCCTCCACATGATCCCAACTAGGATGGAGAATAGATATCTACACAACATAAACAACATAAGTATCAGCAATATATTTGAAATGAAATTCACTTTCAAATAGAATAAATACCTTCTCTCTAGCTAGTGTACCCAAGTAGATACTAAATTGGGTACTAAAGGGACCTGACACCTTGCCAGTCCTAGGATCAACAGAACACGAGATAACTTCTGGCCAGATATGTGTCTAACGGTCAAGCCTTTCAACCGTGTAGATTGTCGACTCCTCTTACTGGAAAATGTCTTTCCATATGCCTGAGGAGATGGTGGTGGAGATGGTGGAGGAGATGGTGGAGGACATGCCATTTACCTGTAATGAAAAAAACATACAATTATATCAATACACATGCAAAGTCTCCTCAATTACATGTTAAAAAAATAAATAAATAAATAGAAGTATAACTTAGATTGTATTAATATTTTCCCATATGCCTTCATCATGGTCAGTGCGAGTAGCATGAACAAAGTCCTCTTCCAATTGGGATATAGCAATAGGCAACCGTGGTGAATTTTGAATGTTAATAAAATCATCTAATTCTTCTCCATTCTCATTTGTGACATCAATCATTTTTCCTTTGAGGACAACTGACCACCTACCATTTGATGGATCAGTGACATAAAACACTTGTTTTGCCTGGTATGCCATTATGAAGGGTTCTTCCTTATGACCAATCTTGTTTATATCAATCAAAGTAAATCCCATTTGGTCTCTTTGGGCACCAGTATTGCTATCAACCCATTTACATTTAAATAAAGGCACTTTGAATTTAGTATAGTCGACCTCCCAAATCTCCTCAATGACTCCAAAGTAACTAATTGATGCCATGATGAGGTTTTTGTCCTTTGCACTAGAAAAGTGCATAGATGTTGCCTCAATAGATACTCCACTATTCTGGACCGTACTTTTGTCATCTTGTGCCTTCGTATAGAATGAGTATTTGTTAATGTCATACCCTTGCCAAGTTATAACATTATATCTAGGACCATGTGCTAGCCATTTTAGTGAATTAGAGGCATT